AAAACATAGTTGAACTGTTTGTATCATAAAAAGTGGGCTCATTTGTGCACATGCGCAGATCGGACTGTAGATCACCTTTAAGAGGGTACCTATTTATCATAATTATCAAGTCAGGACTCGAGCTAGGACTCGAGCCAGGACTCGTCTCAGGACTCGAGCCAAAAATGACGTCAGGTGATTTTGATGGATGAAAAAATACAGACAGCGTTCTTACTTTTAAGGAACTTTCCTTAAATTTAGACTATTCGTTCACCAACATGTAAAATGCGAAATGTTTGAGGAAATTTAACTGAATCTGAGGAATTGTTTATCGATAACCTAAGGAATGTTTGGCAAATTGGAATTGAGAGAACTTGTTTACCAAATCATGATCAATTTCCCACCTTTTTCCACCAGAGCCGATAAAAGAATTAAAGAACGAAAGTTTATATTTGATATATTTGTACATACAGAGCTGTTAATCTCATCTGACTTTGGCTAACTGTAACGGTTATTAATAGAGTCAGAAGACAGTGAATGAAACAATAGTCAATACCATTGTTGTTGTTTGTGTTTGATATATCGCACAAATAACGATATCCAAAAAAGGGAAATATCCAACTAAATAACGATATCCAAAAAAAGGAAATATACGTATTTTATCCGACTAAAACAGTTGGTATTGCCCATCACCAGCAGTCTCTCGCTCTTTACAAAACAGATACTTGTTGCCGCTCATTGCCGCTTACTATGATTCGTCAAAGAGTACGAGATAATTCTCCCTGCCCCATTTTCCTGTAATAGATGCCATTATTACCAAATTGTATTGATAGCCAGCTTGGCCGGCTCTTCTAAGGCGGAGAATTCGCCTTAGATCTAAGAGCCGGCCGCAGATCATGGAGTATTCTAATGAAATTACTTGAATTTAACCTATTTTCTGATAAATCTGCCCGAATTTTCTTGATTTTTCCTAGCATTTGCCCGAATTTCCACGGTTTCCAATTTTTTTGTGGGACAGTTGCCCCCCCCCCCTGCCCCCTGTTTTGTACGCCTATGTGAAATAGAAACATTGGGTAATGGCAATTCCCGGAAATTTCGCATTTTTTTTATCGAGTCCTGACTCGAGTCATGGCTCGAGTCCTGGCTCGAATCCTGACTCGAGCAATAGTATATCTCTAAATTTAATTGTAACGAATAACGGATATATTTATAGTCTTTTTATGGTCTAGGGTGCTTTCATGCCATTTATTTTAGAATAGATGCAGCGGGTAGTATGGTGTAAAATAACAGGGGATTGAGTTTTACTTTTGCATTTATGAGGGAATATTTGGGGAGGGGGGAGGGGGGCTTTCTTTTGGTATCTTATATCTTAAACTTGCCAAGAAGAATCGAATTATTAAATTACACCATACTGTAGTTTCCCCATTTTTCGATTTATAATTTCACTTTAGGCTTACCATATATTCGCGTCATGGACAATTTGGAACCAAAGGCCATCAAGCTACGATCTTGGACATAACCCTTGAGACTGTTAACAAAACTAACTTAAATCATTGTCTCCCCC